TAGACAAACCCCCAAGTTTCGCCGCAAAAGACTGCTTTTGAACCGAGAAATCCGCTCCGGAAGCAACAAAAGTGGCGGGGCGCCCCCGGTCGCCTCGCCCACTTGCATGCTTTATCTCGCCTGCACTTGTTGCGGAGGGTTCTCGAAACAGGGATGTTTGGGGGTTTTGCGAATTTTCGACTCTATATTCGGAATCAGGGCTCTCTGAAGGCCTGAGGGCGACAGAAGCATTGAATTCGAGTTGGGTGGACCGCCGGGGCGCCCCGCCCACTTTGTTACTGAGCGGATTTCTCGCTTCAGAAGCAATCTTTTGCGGCGAAGCTTGGAGGTTTGTCTAGTATTAGGGCCCACACCAGTATGCCATCATAATCTCGCCAACCTCCATTTTGGGTGGACGGTGCCTTTAAGTATGCGTAGCCAGTCACCGCATCCACTTTGTCAAAAATACACGACGAAATTGATTTCAAAGATAATTTCGGTATGCAGATTTCCTGCTGTTAGGAAAAGCTTGCCTGAATAAAAATGAGAAAAAGGACTCAAACCATCTCATGAGAGTCTGCACGCTACGTCTTAACCCTTCCAAAATTGTTTGTGAGCTGGATACTCCATTTCAACATCACACTCATCGCTACCATTCCTGCATTTTTGCCACTAGTTTGTCCAAGTGTCTACTGCTCTCTGGCCTCTTTGTTGCTTGATTTTCTTTGCTGAGCGTGGTAGATTAAGGTTCGTTGTGCACGCATGGAAGATGAAGTAACGCGTTCCCATAACGACGTCCTTGATCTTATCCAGCTATCCTCGATCTGCGAGTACAATCCATGTCATACGCGGGCGGAATCCTCCGTATTCCATGCGCCTATGCGCCATATTGAAGCTCGATGAGCTCAGCATTCCTTGCCTCGTATGACTGGCTGCACAACCCGCCATCTACTGTCTACAAAGATGGGGCCGGCTAACTATTCCGGCGCGTCCGTGCAACTGAAACATATAGGACGAGTCCGCCTACGTCTTAAGCCGCAATGATCACCAAACTAATTCCAGTACTTGATGTCAGAAAAATCCACAAGTGACCGATCTCCACGTAGTAAAGGAACGAGCACTCTCCGCTCACGGTAGTAAACTTGCACCAAAGTTACATACTTTCCCCGCGCGTCAGCGCGACACTATCCAAAAGCTAAAACAATCACTTTGTTTGACCGCTAAATAACGAGACTAGACTTCATCGAGCTGCTGAGCACAATCAATGAAAGAACGTGAAAAACCAGAAAATAATTGAAAATGAGGTCGGAAATGAAAGACGCTTATGGCGACAGTTGCGCGGCATTACATCCTTTCAATTTGGCAAACTGCCCAGCGAGAAGAGACAAACGAGCTTGTTTAAAGTGCTGCGCACTGCAATATCGGTAATACACTGGTGGCCGGACCTCTTTCATTCACGCCAGATGAATCGAGTGTGCCATTGGAGCAATATCGTGACTCAACTTCTGAGCCTCTGACAATGGCAAAAAAATCGTGTAAACCTTGGTTGTATCTGCGCGCAGTGCACACTTCGGCTGTCAAAGGAGTTGAAATTTTTCCGAAAAAACCAGAAAATTCTAATTTTACTAGTGCATTGTAAGATCCTCCTCAAATCCTTCTAGCATTCAAAGAAACGCGCGCCGGTAATTTTGAACACCCTGTACACATCAGCAATTTTTCCTTTAAACCCTTAGATTTCTCCTTTAAGAATCTCTAAAGACCATCTGCATTAGACAGCATAAAAAGTCCTTTTTCTAACTACCAAAAATTGCCCATATATGGCTTGCGTTTGTTGAGCAGCACTTAACACTTAGCAACAACAATTGATGCCACCATTTTGCTTTAGAAATGCCTTAATATACTGTAAAATTATGTCACTCACTTTGAGTCGAGTGCCTCAAATCAATTGTTCAAACTTATTTGTATAACGTACAAACCCAAGTCACCTATGTAACCTTTGATTCAACTCTCTTGGCACCATTAGGGCGGGGTTTTGTGACTAATTGAGGCCGCTCGCGCCCGCAACGCACCTGCGTCTCTCTCGCGCGAGTGCTCTCTGTTCATTACGTAGCCTTAATTAGTTCACGAAGCCCCGCCTTTGCCGATGCCAAGCCAGTTGAATCAGATGGTATGTCGATACCGCCCGATATAACTAATTTCTGCTTACACATTTTTCAGTTTTATTTTCTGCATACTTCTTGGGAGCAAAAGAACGATAGTTATAGCATTTGTGAAAACTAGTGAAATTCAAGGTTTTGAGGGATTCAGAGTGAAAATAATGCCGACACAACCCATACCAGACACAGTGATAAGAAACAGCATTGCTAGAGATTGATTTATCTATTGTAATAGGGAACGAATTCAAGAAGAGATGTGGTCTGGGGTTCTCAGAAAATGACTGTTCAAATTTTGAAGGACATCTATGAATGGAGCGAAACCTCAATTTTTATCATTTGCACCTGTTCAGCTTGAGATTCTTAACAGAGATATTATATGCGTCTGTGTCAGAGCAATTTGTTCACCATACGAAGGAGACTTTTTTTGCGCAGTGAGGCAGAATTTGGGGCAATACTATATTTTAATTACGGTAATTCTTACATTGGCATCAAATGAACTTCAATTCATAGATTCAAGCAAAGTTATTGTCATAGTCTCTACTAGCTGTAAGACCAGCTCACAACCAAAGTATCTAGAAGGCTCGAGATGTAGCATGCGGACAGCTCTCATGACGATGTTAGAATCCTTTTTCTCATTGTTCAGGCAAGCCTTCTTAACAGCACGATGATTACTCAAAATGTCTTCCAGATCAAATCAATTTCATCGTGTATTTTAAACAATTGCAAACCAAACTAACTAGGAAATTCTCAGAGATAAACAGAGTGAGAGCCAGAAATCAAAAAATGTCAATTTATCTTTATCGCAATCATCTTTTCACATCTTAAAGGTAGATATGTTTGCATGCTTTGCCTTTGTTTTTTCCGCATGGTCTATGTTTGTATACTCTAGTATGTTTTGTATTTCCAGCGAAATCGGATAATTCCACAACCCTTGCTAACTCGGTGCATTATAGTTTCATAAGGCTGGGTTCATACTGACCCGTAAATTCCGGAGCTGTTCCAGCACAGGGCACAGTTCGAGCGCTGTGCTGGAACTGCTCCGGAACATAAAATGAACGCCGCCTATGTGTATCTCAAAAAGTTTAGAGATTATATTGTATTGCTTGTGCTTGGCAACGCCTGCCACATCAAAGCGCTCCACAAGGTTTTGCGCAAAGTGAAAATTTTGATATAATGACAACTTTCATATTATTGCTTTGTGTATATTCAATGCTTCAGTGGTCTCCTAAGATCAGAAACTCTCTTCTTACTGTGCATTTCTACAAATCTCATACTTCAAAGTGATTTTCACTGATACGCCTATTCTATGAATTTGATATTACATTCCACATTGCTTTGATTGATTTAGTTGAGTAAATTAATTGTTCTATTAATATAAATTTGTGATATAAAATGATGGCACATTGAGTTGGAAAGAATGATGGTAATGGTGATTTCATTGATGCCTCTCAGAATTTGCAGCTATGAAAACCAAAACGTGTTTCAAATTTTTCATAGCAGCTCAAATCCTCGCTCCCATTAGCACGAATAGATCAAAGAGTGTGGCGATATGAGAGTTCTGCGTCACTTACTGTAACAAATTCCCAACAAACATAAAAAAGCTGAGGATTTAACAGCCCTAAACAAGCTGCGATGTAAATGAGTCAGTTCGCAAATAGGCGTTTCCCGATTGCTCTTGCTAATCATCTTATTTTGAAAGGTAGGTCTTTTTTCGATAATAGCATTTTTACTAATAGTCAAGAGTTGGTTGGAGAACGTAGGCACACTTCGGTATATAAAGGAGATTTAGTAGCATCTGTAGCAAAAAATTTGGAATAGAGCTGATTTGAGCAAGATAGAGAACTTTTCTGTACACGATGCAGAGAAAACAAACGGATTTATCTATCTTAAGCTTCGAACTGGCCAAAGAAAATGAGAAGAATAATAATGCAATGGTTTGGTGTCACTTTTAAGTAGCTTAACTTGAGTTTTCTTTAGCTTCGAAGCATACAAAATCTATTCTAATCCAAGCTTTTTTTCTGAGTACGTCACAAAAGCCATTGCCACAGAAATCATAGAAGTCACAAAAGCAGCATATATATACCACCTGCAGCTGAAACCGAATAAATTCTCCTTTCCTTATGTTCCCTTGGTTCTAATAGAAAGTAACTTTTGCAATAGCAATTCTAGAACTAATTCTAAATTTTCAGTTATGCAATAAGGCTACAACTGTCTTTGATCCTAAGCATGAGAGACTCAAGCTATGAAAGATTTTTTGATGCTTTTTCTTACAAGATGCAAATCGCATTTAGTGCTCTTCGCGAAATAAAACTTTGCGCGTATGAAAAAAATCTTTACGGAAAGTCCAAAGTTTGCGCTTTTCATTGCGATGCGAAAAAGCTCACCTGAATATAAAGCTGTTCAAAAGTACAAGGCCGCTTGTTTTGTTTTGATTTCCAGCACTTTTTCTGAGGTTATAGAAAGCAAAGAAACTCTTTCAGATCGATTTTTGAGACAACCGTGTATCTGGGAGGCGTTCATGAGCTACTTTTCGAGATAGGCTGAACATTGTTCTTGCAGTAAAATGCATAGCAGTTTAAGGAAAATTTTTTTAGTTTATGATTAACGCCAATATTCCGCTTAGAAGTGCTACTTTCAATCACGGTACTTGTACCTCCCTGATGGCCATTGATGACCGAAGTATGATAGTCTAATTCTCACGAAATTACGGGAGTTTCATTTTGCGAGTAAAATTTTTTCATGCTCGCTTAGATGATAAAAAAGCCCTTGCTCTTGTCTAGGCATTATGTTCTTTGATATCGAAGAGAGGACAATCTGCACAAAAGAGAAAAAACACAGTTTATAATTACAATCCTACCACTTCAGTGGGTTGAATTACAAGCATCACACACAAATCAACTCATTCTTTACAAACGCAGTGCTGCTTTCGTCGAACTTTTCTAACCTTCTAATCGCAGGTTTGCTTCAATCCATCTTTTTCAGTATATCTGTCTTGCAAAGGAGACTCAATTAGTCATAAACGCTGTACTGTCGCTTTTCTCTCACGTTACAAACAAACCCAAAAATTATCAGAATTTTTCAGGGCACACTCATATTGCTGAAAACAACTATGAACCTGCTGTTTTTCTTTTTCTTCCTGGGAGCTTGTTTCTTAGGGCTAACAAATGCTACAACGTGCTCGCCAGCAGAAATGCAACGCTTGTAAGGCTGAAATTACGTTGTTTTAACGTGCAACAAAAAATGTGTGTTTTCAGCTGGGTATGTATGAAGAAGTGCAAAGATGACAAATTGATATGCCGAAAAAGGTGTCACGTGGGGTGTCGTGGTCTCAAAAGAATGCGTTCTGTATGAAACGAGCACTTTTCCTCATTGCCTGTTTCTTCTTGTGATAAGATGAAATGAAGCATTGTGCAGCGTGTTTGCAGGGAAATTCAACGTAAAATACTTTGCTAAGAGTGTGTGGTATTCTCTGAGTACCTTCACTCTGCAACAAAGTCATCATTTGTCGGCAGCTATGTTTCATAGAAGATCATGCGAAAAATCTCCCTTACGCAATTTAGCGGAGAACACATTGAACTAAAATTGCTCAAAAGAAGATTATTCCAGCCGTAAAAGTTTTCTTATTCTCTGTATCTCTTATTTCTGTAAACAACGTTTCACTTTTAATTTATGAGTGTCTTTAAATTGGCACGTCCTGTCGTGGTCATGTTACCGTCAAGAGTTCTCTCTAGCTTCTTTGGAAAATTGAGGGAAACAGCCCGTCATTTTTTTCCCATTTGTTGTTCCATTATGACCATAGAAGCTTGCTATCTGAAAAATCAAAACGGCACTCGTAGCAGCAATCGACGTCATAGGACCCAAGAAACAGAATGGAGTTTCCTAAAAAATCAGGTTGATCAGCTGTTAATTTTTGACTTCTGAGATAGAAGCATTGAAGCAGTATGAAGGAAGTAGATCCTTGCTTTAATCGGCATGATCTGCATTTGGTATTTTTGCGCAGTGTAGATTTTTGCGCAGTGTAGACTTTTAAGCAGTAACAAGCAACTAATTTACATATCTTCATTGCCCTTCAGGTCTGCTGCCTCAACGTAACGAGGAGGTGCGGCTGGGTATAGTAAGATGGGTCAAACTCAATCATTTAGTCGAGCCATAGATCGTTTTAAATTTTCCCGTCAGGATTTGCTGCCATTTGTCTGTCAAGGGGGGGGGGATTTCAGCGTCAAAAAACCACTAATGTCATCTAAAAAGTAGTGACATCTTAACACAATTCGAGCGCTTCACGGCTATCTAGGAAGTGGCGTAAAAATACTAGGTCTACCCGAAAGCAGTTTCGCATGTTTTAGACGGGCGCCAAAGTCCGCGGAACAAAGATTTTTGGGAGATCTTGTATTATTCAATGCATCGTTTCATTCTTTTCAATTACTTACGATTTCAATGCGGCACAATCAACGTGCTCCCGAAAGTCAACCTCTGCGAGGCATGCTTTTTCGAGAAGCTTTGCCATCGTTCTGAATCTTCATGCCAACTCTCCAGAGGAGTCCGAGCAAACCCTACAGCAAACAGCACTGTTGAAAGCGACTGGAGATATCCAGACGCTAGCTCTAAGTTACTTGGGGGCTAAGCTGGTGAGGAGGAGTGACTACCAAAGATCATGCAGGCCAACTCAAGAATGCCTTGCAAGGACTGAAACACTGTCAAACGTGGGTCATCGTGTGGCCGATGGTTACGCGGAAATAAGAAGAAGCGATCACGAATACAATGTTGGCCTGCAAAACACATATCCAAGAGGAAGGAGAACTGATATCAGTCTGGCCATGAATAGAATGTCGCGAGGTACACATATGGAAAGTCATGGCAGAACTGTGGACTATAATCGCCGCTACCTTAGAAGAATTCGCCAGCCCGGACCAGTTATACCTTTTAGCGTCTACCCAGTTGAAAATGGTAGAGTATGGATAGAGGCAAGACCGCCTGAAAATTTATTTCAGTTTCACGACACTTACTGCGGAGTAATGAATACCAGACACCTATATGAAGCCATCAGGATGCGAGCACCCGGCGCAAAATTGGAATGACTCCCACCGCGCTGAGATCGACGGCTCCTCGGAGGGGAGGCGTGTTGGAAGATGAGATCATCAATACCAGACCTGGCGGGAGAGGAGGCGTTTGCCTCTCTTCAAAAAAGGGAAGAGAAAGAGGAAGGCAGAAGAGGGGAAGGAAACGGGGAGCACCGAGAAGAAGAGGCTCGTGGGAACCGAAAACTGGTTAGGAGGGAACCAGACCTCCCCACGTGAAAACTCACAGAGAACTGATCCAGACATAACCGTGCGAAGGCCTGCTAAAGGTCAAATTGGGACATTTCTCCTGATTTTCTCGTTCTTTTGTTCGTTGTTGGCTTTGGGGCCGCTGGTCTTCGTTTTGCCATACGGATAAGATTTCTTGTTTTCAATCTGTTCGTGTGCCCAGTTATGGAGATTAAAACCTCAATAAACCACTAGATAGACACTAGCCTTCCTTCAGTTACAGTACAACTAGCCTCTTTCTCTTAGCTTGCCATATTTTTGTTTAGAATTTTTTCTTACTTAAAGCACCGGCTCTTAGCAAACCCACGTCAGACACAAACGCATTGAACACCAGAAAAGCTCCGGGACTTGATACTACTAGATTAATTATGATTCAACACTGATTTTGTGGAACATTCGAGCTTACGGATCCGAAATAATGAATTTCGAATTTTTGAGTAGGTTTCGTGGGCGTTCGAAACCAAGAGAGTTCTAATGGCTTTATTCCATAGATTTCGCGAGTCGGAAACAGAAAACACCCATTAGAAAGAGGAGAAATAACTGCATCGAACGACAACCGATCTGCTCGTCGTTTCATGTCACAAAGATAGTGGACCAAGCATTTAAATGAGTAGCATCTAATGAAATTCTATTGAAGAATTATGATGAACGTTTTCGAAAGGTTAGAAAAGAAGAAAAATCTCTGGAGGACATGAAAACACTTCCTAAGGCGTGATGGCACTTTGCTTGGATTTTTAAACAATCATAAATTTATAAACTGAGCTTTCCGAGTTTCTGAGAGACCTCGAACACTGCGAAACTTGGAAAGAAGCTCCAATTAGAGTCAAGAGAATGAGGAGATAAACGGATGCAAATAAGGATGTGTAGAAACTTTAATGAGGTTCGGAATCTTTCAAAGTTAATGTCAAATAGGTTTCTCAATGAGAGAAATATTTTTGCTGAGTTTTTTCATAAATTTGATAATTTCGGGTGTGAGCTATAAATGTGAAACATGTAGTCTAATGTATACTCGTAAATTCATAGTTTAGAAATTTTTTAGGCAGACAGAGCTAGTCCAAAGTTTGCTTGCGACAATTTGATTCTTTCCACTTTGGTGGATGTTGCAAAGATTTTTAAAAAAATTTGGAATAAGGGTGGCGCGTAGGGATATCAACAGCATGAAACAACTTAGAACTATGTTCATTGGGCCCTATAAGTGTCACTGATTCGCGAATTTCTAATAATTTTTTTGAGTTTCATGTTACAGCAAAATAAACGACGCCAATACTTTCTACTACTCTATTTAAGGATGATGTGCGGACTTGACATGTAGTCAAGATAGAATTTCTGAAAAGTTCACTGGTTGTCGTTTTATCGCATATTGCAATGAAGGTATTTGTATATGTGCGTGTGTTTGTGTGTTTGTGTTTGCAACAAAATGTATGGAAACGTAGAACGAGAAAAAGGCCCAGCGCTGTCGTTCCCGCTATTCTCTACATTTTCGTGTTTTGCATAATATCTTCTTCATTATCACCATCCTCTTCTTCTCTTCCCTCTATGGTCACAGTTCTGTCACCTGGTATCTCATCGTAGTCATCCATTTCTAAATCCTCTTGTTCCAGATCGGCTAAGTTTTACGCCTTTCCAAACTCTATATAATTAATTGGCGTTGCATGGGATAATGGCTAAAGTTTGTAAATTTATTCAATTTGCAGGTTTGAACATCTTTCACTTCCCGCATTCATTCGGGGTTCCTGGCCGCTTTTTCCTTTCCTAGTAAGCGCGCCTTTATATATCCATAAGCGGAATCTTGCTTGTTATGCCTTATGTAGCTTACTACCTGCACCTCTTGTGTGTGGATTACAAATCAATCAGTCATGGAATGCGAATTATGCTAACAAAGCGCAGCATTTACATGACTGCACTTGTGCACAGTTTTTTAAGCTCCTAGCTGCTCGTTCAACTTTCGTTAAAAAGCGGTATCGTATTTCAAGTCTGCTACACATCAACTAAAACACATAATGATTTAAATGTTAGGAATCCTTAGATCACGTTACAGAAAAGATTCATATTTCCAAATCCACTATCCCGCAAGTTCTAACGCGTGTTCGTTCATAGTGAAGGACAAAAGAAGCAAGTGGTTCTTTTATTTCCTGCAGCTTTTTCTTCGTGATTACACTTGCAACACTTCGAGAGTAAGGTAAATTACTGCATGGCTTATGTCTTACAAATCTCGCGATTTTGTAATAGTAACTCATCGATTTTTTCATTTTTGCATCTAGCACGGGAGATTATCATGGTTGCTTGAAATGTGAGACTTGGTCCCAATTTTTGGCGCAAATTAGCTGCTCGTCTAAAATAGATTCTGGCTATAGATATACCAATCAGTGTAGACTTTGCTTACCCATAATATTTCTTACCCATCCCCATAAGCTTACCCATAATATTTCTTATTCATCCCCATAACGCAATGAAAAATTTTGCAGCCCTGTACGTCCTGCAGCAAGAATGACCTCTTTCCTTCCTCAGGCGGATAACCATCATCATACATCAATTTGTATATATACTCATTCCTGCTTGTGTTGCAGTGAATCTAGCAAGAGTGCTGAAATCAGTTTTACAAAGAAGTCAAGCATTAGCATTAGTTTTTCTATGTCTTCATCCACTCCTTTATGTTCAGCAATAGCTCTTGCAAGACAATAGAGCTCACCTTTTTGAATAACATAAGTTTGAATGAAAAACTGCCAGGATTCTACGCATTTCAAGTCCCTGATTTTCGCCGGGTACGATATCGTAAAATAAAGACACTAGTTTACTGATAATGAGCTTTGCTACCTAATGAAAAACTTTTCCCTTTCTCGTTCCAAGACCTCGAGGCGTTCATGGCTGCTCCTGGAAGTGGTTCATTTCTGTGAAAAACCAGATGAAGAAATGATCTAATTCTCAATGATTAGAATGCAATTAGTCACTTGCTTCAAGCTCTTGCTCAAAAAACTTGCCGAACGCATTAAGAGCTTTATTCATGCTTTTTAACATCCCACACTAACTCCTTCTGCCTTCAAAAGCCTCATATAAGCCTGCACAATTTCGCATGAATAGATCGCGTCTTTGACTGTTATTGTTTAGTTTATGCTGTAGTGCAAAGCTACA